AAGTGCTTGAAGGTAGAATAAGCATGGTTTTCATACAAGGCAAGCCATGGAAGTGGCCATATGTCCTACCAACAAATATGTGTTGAACACTAGTAAAACAGTGATGAACGAGACAGACGAAATCTCACACACCCAATGCAGCAGGAAGCCGTTTATAGCACAGAACAGAATAAAGATAAATGAACTTCAAGGACTTGGGAACTATAATTCTAATTAAAATATTTCTAACATTAAAAAATAGAAAACAAATGAATTTGTAACTAATTTGAGATCTATAAAAGTTCAGCAACATCACACTGGCATTCGTACGATAATTTCAAAATTTAAAATAAGACAATATATTTTTAAGGATACTCCACACTGTTATGTAAATGCATAACACTGGGCAAGGCAAACCACTGGGTCATTTTATTGCCCAGAGTCCCAATACTCAGCACCATAATTCATTCTTAAATTCAAAAGAAAAGATGGTTTTCAGACAATCCAGAGCCTAAATTAGTGACAATACACTCCCAAACTAAGAGCTATGTAAAGTTAGATTTTTTTTAAAAATGTAGCATTGTTCAGTTATCCCATTACTTATCACATTACTTAAACTTGTTAGCTTGCTCTACCCCATCATTGTTGAACAGAACTTTTATGGCAATGGAAATGTTCTAACTCCGCTCTGTCCAATTCAATAGCCACTACCTACTACATGTAGTTATTAAGCTCCTGACATGTGGCTAGTAAGACTAAGGAAGTGATTTTATAATTACAGTTAATTAGTTTTCATTTAAATTTAGTTAGCCACAGTGGATAGTACACAGTACAAATTTAATCTTAAACTGGAAGCTGTTCTGTGTCAGAAGAAACCAGTTCCTGTCAGGACCAGCATTGTGGCACATGCCTGCAATTCCAGCACTTGAAAGGCTGAGGCAGGAAGATTGTTATGAGTATATAGTGAGTTCATCTCAAGCGTGAACTACATAGGAAGACCTTGTCTTAAAAATCAAAACAGAAAACAATTCCCTTCCTTTGTACTAAATCATTCTAAACTGAAAATTTATTTTAATATTGAGAAAGCCAGAAAAAAATCTACATTAATATTCCTATGAAGACAAGCTAAAGACTTAATGCATGATTCAAACAAAACCAAAGACTGTAGTTTTCCTTGTTGAACTGACTGAATCAAAACATGCATATGTGGTTGAAATATACGTAATTTCTTTGAAAAATCAGTGCTTATCATTAAGGGAAAGTAATCTACAGCATGCACACTTAGTCAACATTTTAAAAAAAACATTTTAAAGTGTCTTGTGTTTTAGTAAACATTTTTCCTTCATTTATTTAACGCCTACAATGGGACAAGTGTTTTGCTTATTTGGTGGATAATAATCTTACTAATACACCAAAGCAGAAACATCATACAATTAGCCACATTTAACTGGATGCATTTGAATTGATTCAGCAGCTTCATGTATAACTGCTTCATTTTTGAGCTACCAAATAATATAACCAAATGATCAGCTCACTTTTTAGATTTGACAGCAAAACCACAGTTAAAATGTATTAATGCTTTCAAATGCATAGTACATATCTCCAGAAAATGAAAACAATATTAATATATCTTTCCAACAGGTGACTAGTACATATTACATAAATGATATGTATGACATTTTGCAAAAGATATTTGTATTAAAATTACTTTTTTCCAATATCTATCATCCTTATAGAAAGTATTTGAATGGGAAGAGGAGGGGTGAGGGGGAAAGAAAGAAAAGGAAAATGAAAAAAGAGAATAGAAGGAAGAAATGTAAACAAAGTTTTTGAAAATAAGGAAGAAGATTTTAAGAGAGGTGAGGTTAATGGGGAAGAAAAGAAAAATCAAAATATATTATGTATAGGAACAAATTCCCTGCAATGAATGTTATCACTATGTATATCAAAAGTGTACCAATGAAATTAATTTAAAAATATTTTTTCTGACTTGGAATTCAAATTAAGACCTTCTAAGAGGTCACTGAAATTAAAAATAAAAATTAAAATAAATTAAAAATAAATTAAAATAAAATCTGCTATCTGGATGTGGTGGCTCAGGACTGGGAAGGCTGAGGCAGGAGAATTCCCATGAGTTCAAGGGCATTCTGAGTTATAGAGTGAGTTCAAGTCCAGCCTTACATACATATGTAGATCTTGTCTCAACAAACAAAAAACCACCCCCACCAACAACAAAAATCGATAAAATAAAATCTACTGTGTTTAGTTGAACAGAAAATTTAGACATATATGTGAAAATGATTTTTGGTTGTTTGGAGTTTGAGAAGGTAATTCTTTCAACAAACATTTACCATGTTCCCACTATGTGCCAGGAACCATACTTGACACTAAAAAGTGACATTATCTCTGAAACAAGTGCAGGTAGGGCATCAAATAGTACATTGATGGGAACATCAATTGTCCCACATCCCTATCAAGATCATTGGGTGGAGCTGGATCATTGGAGTGATCTGAATCACTGTGAATGGAGTATATTGATTACCTTAATGTTCCTTTCTCTGTCGCCCATATGTATGGAAGTGTAGCAAATGATAATTTATAATATATTTTCATTACAGCTATTGGACTGACTACCATATTTTACTTTGGTTCATCTAGAATATATATGCATAGATATACAGCATACACTGTATATCAACAAAACTAGTTATATAACAATGTAAGAAAAATACTGTGAGGAATTTAGTGGTCATTTGAATTGGACCTTGTTTAAAAAGCTACACATAAGATCCTAACAGCACGCTAAATAATTTTTCAACAATAGAAAACTTAGGCAAGCAATTCGATACCATAATGTTAAGTGAAAGAAATCAAGCACGCAAGCTTAAGAGTGTATGATTTCTTTATGTAAGAAACCCATAGTAAAAATAAAGAGCAAAATAAAAGGTAATAGGAAGCAGAGAGATAGATCATTCTCAAAGGGGAATGTGAACATGAGATGGAGGGAGGGAGAGGGAGGGAAGGGAAAAGGATGAAAAAGCAGGAATTGGGATGTGTTATGTACATGTATCAACTCCACTCAAGGATTGTAAAGTATGTACTGCAAACATGCGCCTTCCAAATGAACAGAATCAAAAAGTGAATGGAGGAAACAGGGAGGGATGGGAAAGGAGATGAAAAAGGAATTAAGGTGTGTTATGTATGTATAGAAACTTCCCACAAGGAATGAAAATGTGTACACATGTGTACTAATAAACTAATGTTAAAAAAGAAAAATTATTTATATATAGGATACAAGCCTCAGCTTTACTGTAATACATATATTTTTTAAAAAGAATGATTTTTAAAAACACACCAAAATTTTAATGTGCAAGACTGCAAGTAGTTTTTATTTTCTTATTTATATATTATCACATTTCCAACTTTTTTTACAGTGATCATCCACTTTGTCCATAATCAGTGCAAATCATATATATAGATATGAATATAGATATAGATATATAGATATATAGATATATAGATATATAGATATATAGATATTCTTGCAACCATTCCAAATGCTATGTCTAGCATAGACCAGGTTAAGTTCTCACATAGGGAAGTAAATATTGGCTATACATATGCTCTTAGAGTGCCAATGCAGAGGGCTTATGGTTTGACCCAATTGGAAGTCCTCCAGGAAAAGACAAAGACTTTCACTGTCTAAAATTACGATTTATTGAATATTCTTAGGAATATTGTGGAAAAATAATGTACATTTGAAGCTTGATGATGAGCTGTTTAAATCTTGCATAAATACCATAGTCATTTCCTCTGATTTTTTACTCCAATACAACATTTTTATTTGAAGATTTAGTAATGCATATTTAAAGGATTATTACTAACCACAAGATAGTTTTGAAAAGCTACACTTTTTTCTAATTATAAGAATAGTATAATGTGTGGGATATACCTCACTGGCACAGTGTCTGCTTTGCATGTGCCTGGCCCTGGAGTCAAACCTCAGCCCCCACCACCACCAAAAAGGAAAGTATAATATTCTTTGTAGAACAAATTGAAAGTACAGAAAATGGGATTAAAACTCAAATCATCTATAATTCCTTCATTAAAAAGTGACTACCATGAGCACTTCAGTATACGACCTTCTAGTAATTCGTTATAAGGGATTTGTATGTCCTGCTTTCTTTTTTTTAAACCAGAAATCGAACTCAAGGCCTTGTGCTTACCATGCAGGTACCATGCCACTGTGCTACTTCCCTGGCCTCCCTGCTTTTTCACTTAATATTTCATCCTGACCATTTTCTTGTATCATTAAATATGTTTAATAAACTTCATTCTAATAACTGCCTAACATTAATGATGGCTTTCAAATACCATCTCCAGTCGATAAGGAATATTTATTGTATCTGCCTTGACCTACATATCATAAGAGATTCAAAATGCATTTGGTATTGAAAAGAACTGGTCATGGGGTTTCCTGAATTAGCAATCTCCACTGAATTGAACCAACATTGGAATTTTGACACTACATATGATTTTGTTTTGCTCAAATTCCAAAAATCACTCATATTATGCACAATAATTAATCACCTCCATATTTTCCAAAGTACAGTCTTAAAACTACATGTAAGCCAGGGTACACTCAAATCCAGGTTCTGCCTGCTGTAACCAAACAAGTAAATCACAGTAAGCTTAAAGGAAATGCCAAAGTAAAACAGAGAAAAAATTATCCTTAGCACAAACTTCCATTTCTGAACAAATAAATTTATCTTTCAAACTAAGTATTAAAATGTACTGTGAATTTTTTTCTGAGAAAAATTCAATTCATGAGCTCCATAACAATTTTACTACAGTCTGTACTCCAAAATTTGCTTAGCAAGAGTTACGAAAATTATTCAGTGTATGAATCACAATTCCTTTAAAGTACAAGAGAGAGAAATTCCATGCAAAATTTGCAACTTTAGTCTAAAAGGAAATTCTATTTCCAATTATCTTTGGTGAGTTGTGGCGTCTTCCCTTACCTGCAAGGCAGCTGAGAATGAGAAAAATCTTCCAAAATGCGAACACCATTGTGTCGAGTGGTCCAGAATGGCAGGGGCCTGTGGTTTGCTTGAACTAGGCTGAGTCTGAAACTGGCTTCCTCAATCAGCCAGAGGTTTGCCAAGCTTATCTGCTGGGCATTACCAAGCAAACTTTCCTCTTTGAGCTTATTTATTGGCTATGGAGCTTTCCCAGAGCTGACTTCTGTTTCTTTGAAACAATTTTCATTAGGTGTTTCCTTGATATATTTGCAACTGTGTTAATAATAAACCCATGTATTCAAATTCTTCAAGCTCTTTGTACACAGATTCTCTAAGTCTCATTGTTTAAAATCAATCTTAAAAAATTACATGAAGGGGGAGATCTCTTTGGAAAAAAGCTCAAGCAAATAAAAGCTGACAAGGATAATTAAATTCATGTATTTCTATGAAAGTCTTATAGTACTGATTCATTAATCTCCTTCTACAAATTAGATTACTAAATTGGTGCTATAAGTTTTCCTGAGGAGATGTGGCTCATAGGAAGGGCACAGAGGTTGTGAAGTGAAAAATTATTCATATCTATGTTAATAAACTCTAGACATGTCACTTTTTTGAAGCACTGGTAGTTATCACCACCCTCCACCATAAATCGCAAGAGAATGAATTATATGCTTATGTCTCCTAAATTCAAAACTTTATAGCACTTATTTGCTAATCTAATTTTTCAGAATCAGATAAGTGAATGAGTGCTTCAAGATTTTCATTATATGGGTATAAGTTTTTGGAGAATTCATTTACTGAACAGATGCTACAAGGTTTCTTTAGAAATGAGGGTTTCTAGGAAGGCATGGGAGACTGCACAAATGAAAAGCCTTCATGTGAACATGAGCTTCTAATCAAGTTTCTTTTAAACTTACGTTATCCTGAGAAATCTAAAAATCTCCTTTGATCTGTAGGTTGTGTTGTTTCTTCTTCTATAGTGACTCTCGAATTTGGTACTTCCCCAGTCTCTTGATTCACCTATGGTCCAGATACTCAACTCCTTGCCTCTGACTATAGTAGCAACTTCCTAAATAGCAACTTCCTCAATCATTTTACGTACCAGCAATAGACCAATGTTCTAACTCTAATCAAGTGTTTTTAATAATAACTTATAGAGACTCTTAGCAAGTCCAAAGTCCTTCATCTGAGTCCCAAGTCTTCCAAGATCTGGTCCTTTATCTCAATTCCCAGCTTTCCAAGATCTAGTCCTCATCATATCTGAACTTTTAGCCACATTAAATCATCTACCTGAAAAATACCATCAAAATGTATTGTGTCAAATGGTTTAGTTATGTAAAACATGTGCAAGTTTCAAATGATATATTTTATGAAATTTAATTTACAGAAAATAATTGACTCCATCTTAACTTAGGTAAATCAATTTTCTCTTGCATCTCAAAAAGTCGTGATTCCATTAGGTTTTCCATCCATATTAATGTCTGATGCTAACCTTGGTTCCAGGTGACATCTGTCACTATAGGTTTTTCTCCTCTCTTCTCTTGTTATCTAAGTATATTCTTAGGGCATATCAGTCATGCTATTGTGTGTAAGGATTTCTATGAACCTAACTACCACTTCAATCTGGACTCTCCCTACCATAGATTCATATTTTACAAAAATCAGATTACTTTAACCACTTAGGGTTAGTCAATACTCTACAGTCAGTACTTGATTGCTATCTAGTAGTTTCCTATTTTGGAATTGAATCTACCTTAAATCCAATGACTATGAGCCTCTTCAGGGCAGGAATCAGGTCTTATGCAGGGATTTCTCAAGTTATAAAAGGATGTGTCCTACAACAAAACCCAAAATACGTATTTCCAGAAAAGCAACTCTTCAAGACAGTGTCATTCCCAGACTTGTGTAGCACACAGTTTAGCACTGGTTTCAAGTCTGGGTGCTGGGCCATATACAACCAGGGAAGAAGAAAAAGAACAGTAGGTGGAAAAAGCATAGAAGTCTTTTATTTTCTGAAGACAAGAGTTGTGAACAATTTATTTCCCCCAAATAAGTATTGCTTGTGTCCCATATCTACCTTCCCTTCTGGCCTCACCCTCATAACTCCTGATATCCCTAGCTTCCCATTAAGGGAAGTCTCACTGCCAAGAATAGTCCATGTTGCAAAATTTCCTTTTCCTTTCTACGTCTGTTCCTCCCAGAAACATTCCCATCCTTGCACAAGGAAATATAAACTCCATGTTTGTTCAAAGGGAGAAAATCAATTTTCATGAGCATTCCTCAACCTGTTTGCACTATTGAAAATAGAATGTTGCATTCTCCAAATAAATCTCTGACGAGAAGGAACATTCAATGTATTAAATAAAAATGGTATGAGGGGAGTTTTTCAGAACAGGATATATAGATATAAACAGCCCTAAGTAGAGGTTGATTCAAGCTTTTCTCAGCCTTGGTTCTGCCTTGACCATTTTGTCAACCAAGTAATCCAAAAGACTCAAGGTTTTCACAATGAGTTCCCTGAAATAGGCATTCTCAGTGGCACAGAGTCAGATGGGGAAAGAGATTTGTAAGACTCGTCTTTGTAATCCAGGGGGCCTGCATTTCTTTCCTCTTCCCATAAGGGACCATAGCAAAGTGATCCTATAATTGATCATTAAAACTAGGATACTTCCTAGAGTGAAAGTGAAAGGCACTATTAACAATTAACTGTGACAGACAGCATAAATGGGACAGTCCTAGACAATCTTGGATGTTTGACCACCAACCCACAGGGGAATGCTAGGCAAAATATAGGTGCTAAATAAAGGAGAACTTACTAATTCAATGTGTGTAAGGTGATTGGCCTTAAAATGGGTGGAGTGTAGGGTATGATTCAAAGAAATTTCCAAAATTCACCTGCATCAGGATATCTCATACAAATATAAAACACTCTCTTTAACATTTAAGTGAAATGCTGTATAACTGCTGTTATATGCAACCTAATAGGGGCAGAAGGAATTCCGTTAAAATAGATTCAAGAGATCATCCAAATTCTTTTTGCTTGCAACTGAATTTTGATGTTACTTGACTATTATTCAAAAGAAGTGCCCCATAACTGGCAATGAAATATTAATATTTTTATTTTTACTGTGTTTTGAACTATTTTTCCATTTTGTTTTTATGACTGCACAATAGAACAAATAGATCATTATTAGCTGCATTATCTATATAGGAAAACTGAGAATCAGAAACGTGTCTTTCTCAAGGTCACACAACAAGGAGACATTAGAAGTGTTCCCATCACACTGCACAAAGGCCCAGCATGATTACAATGAAACAAAAATACTCTGCCTCTGGGATTTTCCCTCTGGAACTTCCAGAAATACAAGATATCTGTTTTATCCCTGACTTTTACTTTAAAAATTACAAAAGCAGCACATTTTCATTGCAAAAATAATTCATGAAAACAAGTAAGTAATGTAGGCAAAAGAAAAAAAAGTGTCCCCATTTATTCATTCACATGTATAATTCTGTGCTGAGGCTCACAATGGAAGTTAAGCATTTTTTCATCCTTTTCTATGCATTTAAACACAGACATATAAACTTTTTTTTCTTTTTTGTTTGTTTTCTAGTACTAAGAAGGGAACACAGGGTCTCACACAGGTGAGGCAAATGCTTAACTACTACACAACCAGCCTAACATTTTTGGTTGGTTTTTGCCCTTAACATAAAGGTGACCATAGTATACAGATTGTCCACTTTGCTTTGTTTTCTGTAGTTTTTTACTCTGAGGAAAACTGGAAACTAGTAGAGAAGCTGAACAAAGGTGAGACATAATCTGACTTACATTTTGAAAGGATCTTGCTGGCTCTTGTGATGAGAGTCGATTGGGAGTGAATAAATACAGAAGCAAGGAAACCAGTTCAGAGTCTATTGAAGTAATCCAGGTATTCGGTGCTGGTAGCTAAGAGTCCCATGAGGCTGAGAAAGTTGGTGTTTTCTATTATCTATTGTATTAATGGAAGAATTTCTAGTATCTCCATCATTATGCCCAATTACATTTATTTTGTCTATTTTAGTCTCATGGCATTTCGTGACATGGAGATGCTATAACTTGCTTAACCATTTTCCTATTGGTGAATTCTTAGATTATTTGAAGTTTTTCACTATTATAAACAATGATGCAATGACAATCCTTTTGTCAACATTGGTATCCTTCTGTTTACATCTCTGATCATGTGTGTGACATTTTTTCAGGAATCAGTAGACTGATTCCTTTGAAATGGAATTATTAGGTCAAAGGACTTGAATATTTTAAACTTTTGGTAGACTGTAAGTTTGTCCACCAAAATTTTTTTTGAGGCAGGTTCTTGCTGTGTAGCCCAGGCTGGCCTCAAACTCACAGCAATCCTCCCCTCAGCCTCCCAACTCCTGGAATTACAGGTATATGCCACCACACCTAGCCAGAAATTCTTTATAAACCTATACTTCTGTTAAGAGTGTATCAGAGTGCCTTTTTCTCCATAGCCTTACCAATAATGAAAATTGTGAGGTATTATTTTTCTGTACTGGAGACTGAAACCAGGGTCTACACACTAAGCTACGTCCCCAGCCCTTTTTATTTTTAATTTTAAGATAGAGTTTTGCTATGCCACTAAGTTGCCTAGATTAGGCTTGAATTTGCTATAGAAATATCAGTTTGTGTGATTATTAAATAACAGCTAAAATACATTTTTCTCATATTTCTCTAATCTTGGTCTTTTGCCATCTCAGTTATCGAAACCCTGTCCTTCCAGTTGATCATCCTTTTTTTATTTAAAGAAAGACAAAACAAAATAGAAAACAGGCCGAAATAGTACATACTTTCAAAGAAAAGAAATAAACAGTAATAAGTCACCAGCTGATGTATACATATTGTCCCCCTATAAATAGTTGTTCAAGGTACACAAGTGGATCATATAAATGGGATTTCAACCAAGGAGACTGCAAATAGTTCTGTTCAACTATCCAACAAATACTAGGTATTATGGCTATCAATCCTATACACTTAGACATGTACGCATTTATCCATATCTTCATTTATGTTGAGATTTAACACAGCTTATTAGATTAAAATCCTTCTGCATAAAGATGTGCTGGATTTCACATCATAACACTCCAGAATCAGGATTGGGTACTGAAGTACCCCTTTCTTTCCTTCAAAGT